GCCCCTTCCATTGTCACGGTGCAGCCGATTGGGCAGACGGCCTGCGTGTCACGGGCACCCACACGGCGGTGCTGGCGTAGAAGAAGAGGGGTGTTGTCGCATGTGGCCGGGATTGCCAGGCAGCCATCGGCAACTCCGAGCCGGGGGGCGACCAACTACGTTTTCCTCGGCGTGCACTCTGATCAGTTTTCGCACTCAGCGCCACTGACTGCTGTGTCTATTTCTTCTCTGCTGCGCTAGCCCCCTTGGCGGGCCTGGACGGTGGCTGCGATGGGGGTTGCCGCCTCTAATTTACTACGTGCCACAGCAATTTGGGGCATCTATCTGGCAGCGTACTTGTTTTTTTTTTTTTCAGGGCGGTACGCCGGCGCATGTCCGCTTTGAATTGAGGGAATCTTCTTGCGCGATCCCGAGCTAGTCTTTTCCCTGGTGGCTGTCAGTCGTGGCGTTGCGTTGCTCTCGGGACTTCCGCAGGTACGGGCGGAGCGCCGTTAAAAATCACAGGCACGCGACGAGTTGCCTCATCACGGACGTGGATTTGCACGGTTGGGAAATGCTTTGCTTCTTCCAGCTGTGGAGGGCGTCGAGGTGGCAGAGGGGGGCATCGCTGCGGAGCTCCCGCAACTCTTTTCTCATGCAGGCGGAAGCACAGACGGATCCTCCTGCTTTGTCGACGTGCGCCGAGTGTTTGGCTCAACGCATTGGCGTCTGTACGGGCAATGCCGCGTTGCAGGGTGACGCCACTAAAGGAGGGGCGGCGCGTCTTGACGCGGCAATTGGACGTGGTATTGCACCCTCTTGACGCCCACGGCGTGGATGCACCTTTTTTACCTGCGTACGATTTCTTTGCGGCCACGCAGGTGGCGCGTCGCGTGGTCGTGACTTCAGTTCTGGTGGCGTGGTGGAAGCGGCTCGTCATGCGAGGGGGAGGGGCGGTTGCGGGGTCTTCAACGGCTGCCACGTTGTGGGTTCACGGCGAGGCCTCAGTTTTTGTAGATTGCTTTGTGCACCAATTGGCTTACTGGTGTGGGT